CCCTCAAGCTGGAGGAAGGCAGTTTAAACTTCCTCTCTTATCTTTTATTCACTGTTTCATTAAGCATGGCCTTGTCTCGCAGGCAATTTGGGATGGCAGCAGCCTGCACGTATACCTCATCTTACTCCATGGGAGAAGGAAGAAATGAGCTGAAAGGTGTGCAGGAAGTGTTTAAATTATCTGGCAAGAAAGACTTAGAGCCGTAAAACAGTCTAGGAGCAGCTAGAAACAAAAATCATGATTTCTTTTTAATTGCAGCTTCTATCTGAAAAAAAAAAAATCAATATTTTGTCTTGCAGATCTTTAAGTTAATTTAAAACCGATTCTCCGTTAAAAATACTTAAATTGACCAAGAAACAATTCAGAAAAATTTAGAATTAAAATTTTTTTGAGCTTTCTTTAGAAGGAAATTTGGGGCTACATCCATTCCTGATGCACTGTGCATGGAAATTGGTGGCTCAGTGGTAGTCCCGACTTCACAGCTGACACTGGAGTGTCCTATTTGCAGCGTAGTTTCACCTCTCCATGTCTGAGATGCTTCCCAAAGAGAAAACTTGGTCAATAAAACCAGAGAACCCACATTTGCATCCAGTATATCCTCTGCTGGCAAAGCCCAGTGGTAATATAACAAAACTTTTAGAAACTTAGGAGGATAAAAAAAACCAACCCCTCCAACCCACAAAACCACACTGAGAAAGAGAAGCCAAAGCTTCCCGTGACCACCTTTGGGCACGACCAATAAACCATGATCAAAGTTTCCCAAGGCAGAGGCTGCGAATTTGGAAGCAGTAGAGATTTGAGCTCCAGGGAGCAAAAGCTGGGGCTGGTGCTGGCCTGCCCCAGGCATGACACATACTTGCTCCAGGGCCAGGTTTCCATGAGCTGGGATGGGGGGGGGTGGATTTATATGGTGGAAAAAAACCCGACCCATTTCCCTGTGCCCTGGGACCCGGGATGTTCCCAGCAGTGGCTCAGTGGGGTGGCATCGCCGCTCAACCTCCTCATCTCCTCCTGCGGCCGGGGGTCCCCAGGCCGGCAGGACCTTGGGGCACAGACAAATGTGCATGAGTGGCCCATGAAGACACATGTTTGGCCAGGTGGATGTGCATGTATAGGTGCATGGATGCTGAGCTTTCTGTTGCATTCACTGCAATGCAGAACAACACGTGTGCTGGCAAATTCATGTGTTTGCATGCACATGCGTACATAGCCATGATTTTTATTTTAACCAGAGTCTGCAAAGAAATGCTATAAAATGTTGTTTAATTATGTTTTTGAAAGAAGCTCACCAGCAAAGGGGATGCGCTGAGCCATTTCAAATACTCCAGACACCTTACCCAGCGTTTTGCAGTGCTCTGCCAGCCCCTGTGCCAGCCGGCGGAGAGGGAGCAGCTGTATCATGCTGCTTCCCACTCTGCGGCTTTTATTTCAAGGCCTTAGCCCAAATAAAGTGTCACAAGCCACGTGTGATGTGTTTCAATGCGGCTCACCATCCCTCTTGCTGCTTGGGCAGCCAAATGCCGAGGGTGCCAACCCAGTCCAGTTGCGTGCAGGGATTCTTATCCCCAGGGTGCCTTGGAAACCGATTAAAAATTAATGATAATATTGATGCCTTCTGACACTGCTGAGGCCCTGAGAGCATTGCCAGGCTTTGCAGCCCTCTTGCCTCCCCAGGGTTGTGCTGCCTATGCCGGAGGGCAGCTCTGACACTGCGCAGCTGCAACCAGAGCTCAGCCTGTGGGGAGAAGCAGGGGATGAGAAACAGCTGGGAGAAATTCCTGGGAAAAGGCATTTAAGCTCAGGTCCTCAGCCTGGCACCTTGGTTGATTTGTTTTGGCTGATCTGGGATGATTTTGATGGACCTGCTCTGCTCTCCTCGCCCAGAGACCGGGACATGATGGTCTGGTGTGTAAGGTCCCAGCTTGTCTCGCTGTGTTGGTCTGGTGGTGTGGTGATGAGGAAAGAGCAGCAGTCTGGAAAGGTAATAAATGTTGCTTAAAAAATAATGTAAAAATACTCCACAGTAAAGTGAGATGTGGTTGATGCCCCTGTGTGAACAGGGTCACCTGTCAGTGTTTAAATTGCATCCTGCTGTAGATTATTTTCCAAGGCATTTTTCCAGTTCCTTTTCAACACTTGAAAGTCACATCAGCGTGGCCAAGCATATAAACCCTAGGACTTTCTCATTTGGAAATATAACGAGGAAGCAAGTACAGGGAACATGAAGGAAAAAGACACCTTACTATTCATAGCTACATTAAAAATTATTTTAACTTTGATGGGCAGTTCTTGTTGCCATGTTTTAGCTCATGCTTGATGTTTATTTGTGGCTGGTGGTCAGGGCATGGATGTTTGGAGACGTTATGTCAGGGGAAGGGTTGCAAAATGGGTGTAGGTCCATCAGGATGAAGGAAAAGGAAGATTTGCTTAATTGTGCCCTTGGTTTTGGTGAAGGTCATCTCCTGAGTCCACGTGTGCATGGGGGCAAATAAGGACTCTGCAGAAGTGCAAATACAGCAGGAACTACATGGCCATGCTTTAGAAAACCTTTGTGGCCCTTCTATTCCTCAAAATCTGCCTGTCACAGGGACTGAGAGTTTGAACTTGCACCATTGTGCGTGACTTTATGAAAAGCAATTTGGATCAGGGATGAGAGAAAGGGAAAGTGTTACCAGCAAATCCTGCTTGGATGGGGTATGGGCACAGGGTACCTGTGCCACAGCCCTCCCGGATGCAAACATGTAAATTCCTAGCATCCCAGGGCTTGGTTCCTACTATCCTAGGGTTTTGTATCTTCCCACCTAAGATAATCAACTATTTTAATTAAATCAGCAAGCTGAACAGAGGCTTTTGTACTTGGGTGGCTGCCTGACATGGTATTGTTATGTATTATAACGTTGCCTTTTTTGGGATCTCTTTATTGTTGGCTCTGAGCCTGCGATGTGCTCCTGCCCTGATTGTCTCTTTTCAGCCTGCAAATGGGAAGTTACCCACTGGCAGCTGGAGCCCCAGCTCTGATCAAACCAGGAGAGATGCTATTGAGTTCAGCAGATTTCTGTGAATTCAAATGGGATCTTGACAGTGATTTGAGATTGTTTCCTGAGTTTTCAGAGTTTTTGTCCCTGTGGAGCTGTGTCAAGGTCTCCTGTGGTAACACAAACTCTATGAAACTGCATCCAGGGACCACAGGATGGATGCTCAATATGATGGGTAGGTACAGAGATGCCACTTCTGAAAAGCTCTGCCTATGCAGAGCATTTGTCAATGTTGGCATGCAGATGTGAGCAAGTAATGCCAGGTACAGAAGGATTCAGATATGCTTGTAAAACATGTGCAGGACTGCTCCTGTGGTAACACAAACTCTATGAAACTGCATCCAGGGACCACAGGATGGATGCTCAATATGATGGGTAGGTACAGAGATGCCACTTCTGAAAAGCTCTGCCTATGCAGAGCATTTGTCAATGTTGGCATGCAGATGTGAGCAAGTAATGCCACGTACAGAAGGATTCAGATATGCCTGTAAAACATGTGCAGGACTGTATCCATGTACTCTTTTAGGCTGTGCTTCTCTGTGTTTGTGAAATACAGACCAGCTGTGTCTCTGGGTACATATGCAGACACCCAGTTTGTGCCTGTACCACAGCACTGCCGAAAGCCAGGTGTGGACTCACTGATGTGGTTTCA